GATTTATTGAAATAAAATATATTATAGAAACTAATTAAAATAAAACACTTAAAAGAATATTCTTAATATTTATTTATTTTATTTTATAGTATCCCAAAATTACTTAATCCTTAACCGACATGCCAAATCAGTTCGCCACAGTTTGGAAAGGTGAACAGAAATTTTTATTAATATTGGATAAATTATATTTTATTATAGTATTACTTAATTTACTGTTAGACACTATTTTATTATGTGGACATTTGGTTTATCAAATCTTAATACTCATATTTAAGATATTTTATAGATAATTTTATTTTTACAAATATTTTTTGAACCCTTAGTAATTTTGTGATGTAAACTTTCATATTTGATAGTGTGAATTTTCACATTACAAAATATTCGCACTATATTCACATTATCAATATGAATATTAATGAGCGTTTCACCCTATTATTATTAAAAGTATTTTGGTAATTATATCACCCATAGAACTTATTGAAATATAAAAAAATAATTTGAATTAAGTAAAACATAAATAGGTGAATAGGGATTTATGAATAAATATCCGTTATGTATGGAAAAGATTATGATGCACACATTTCAAAGGATGTGTACCGTATGTACCTTTTAACTAAAAAAAAATGACAAAATTTCATACTTTCTGAGTCAGAATTAAAAAAAAAAATCATAACCAAATAACACATAAGGCATAATAAAAAATCTCATGAGTCATAACTAAAAAAAAATTAGTCATAACTAAAAAAAATGACATAGCTTAGGGGTAGGGGTATAGAATTTCTCCTTATTTATACAATATATATTTTTCATTATAGAAATAAATAGTAGAGGTACTTACGTGTAAGCCTTAACAAATGAACTTATTATTTAATAAGTTCTATGATAATTAATAATAGTTTTTATCAAATACTATTAAAAAATCACTAATTGTTAATTATTAACGACAATTTGAATTTTTTATCACAAAAAATATTATTAATTATAAATTTTAGCGACAATTTAAAAAAATTATCACAAAAAACATTACTAATTTTCAACTTTGGCCTCGTTTGGCAAGTAATAATTTCAGTCAAAAAGTTACTAAAAAAATCAAAAAGCCAACGACCCATACTAAAAAGTTAAAAAAAAAAATTTCTCTATACTTCTTGCATATCATTTCGTAAAAAATCAAAAAATCATCCCAAACATACTAATTTTTTTTATATCATATTTTAGCCAAAAAACTAAAAAGTTACTAAAAAAACCTATTCTCAAACAAGGCCTTTAACAATAATTCTAAAAATTCGTCACAAAAAGAGTTGCTAATTATACATTTTAGCAACAATTTATAAAATCATGATAAAAAGATTTATTAATTATAAATTTTTAATAATATAATACAACAAATTTAGAAAGAAATAACTAAAACTAAAATCATAGCTTGGCAAAACAAATACGTTTAATTAATCAAATTCAAGTGTAAACCACTAAACCTCAACCTTTACTCCACTTGCCTAGCACAAGAAAACATCAGCAAAATGGACTATTTTATGTCCCCTTTTCATCTTTTCCAAGGAATGGCATAGTGCATAATTAAAAATTCTTCATAAAGCATGATATGCTAAATTTATATCAAAACATGAATACTTCTCAGAAAAATAATAATCTTAGAATATCATATTACATCAACAGTGCTGGAACCCCAGTGGGGAGTGACCCTCAGCACCCTACCTCCAGGGAGGGAAGACAAAAAAAAAATATAGACCAATCAAAAAACAGTAGGCGTGCTGGGGTCACCCCCACTGGAGGTCTACGGCACTTTTCATATTACATACACTTTGAATCAATCGAGCAGCACTCAGATTTTTATTTTACCAACAAACCTGAGGAAATAATGAAATAATATCCTTCGAAGCAACTCCTAGTTCAGCCAAGGCTATGATAGCCTCAATAACATAAGGGAAATGTCTGTCAAAAACAAAACAAATAAAGAATGAGCATGCTATAAAAGTACTGAAATCTTCCAGCAATACATAAATGATAAAAAGATAACAAGAAGAACAATTAAATATCTTAGTAGCAGTGTTAGCAGTACGGTCGATATTGTTGTTATTATAGTAGCAGTAACAGCAGAAACTGTCTTTGGATGTGAATCTATGAGGCATTCACAGTCAATAATTACACTGCTACTCACTGATTCCGCACTGTTATTTTATGGGCTGACCCAATCAAGACTGTGTAATCATATTCAACCACCAGCCCCCCAGACATAATAAAATGAAATTTTAAAATAAAAGAAAAGAAAGTTACATACAAAATAAAAGCAAGCAATGAGACACAATTAACATACTTTGACATAGAAAATGAAATGGAAAAAAATGATTCATGTAGCCGACCCCACTTGATTGGGACACAAGGCTTATAAGTTGGTTTGGTTTTGACATAGAATATGGAAAAAATTGTTAGTCATTCTCATCATTCAAAATTTTGACATAGAAAATGAAAAAAATTGTTACAGCCATTCTCATCATTGAAAATTTGAGGAAGATTAGTTTCAACTAGATTGGTGTTGTATGTATAAGGAGACGGGGAGTCAGTCAATCATTTATTGCTTTATTGCAAAGTGGCCTCAGATAATTGGAGCTTAATTCTCTGTCTTTGGTGTCACTTGGGTTATGCTGGGTGGGTAAAGATCCTCTTTGATTTTTGGCATAGGGGTTGCCCGAGTCGGGTTAGTTGGAAGGCTTGGTAGGTAGCTCCGTTGTGTGTTTTGTGGTGCAATTGTAGATCATTTGAAGGGAGGGAGAATTCCATTAATTCCTTGAAAGGATCAGTGCTCGCACAACTGTATTTTTGCCTCAAGGGGGCTGCCCCTTTCTTTTTACTATTTTGTGGATTTAATTTTTTATTTTTGGTGATTCGTACATGCTTGTTGACATTTAGGGCTTTGTTTTGTTTTGCTTTGCATTTTTCTTGTTTATTTTTTATTTTTGGTGATTTGTACATGCTTGTTGGTTGTGGTCCTTCGCCGTCTTTCGTAGTTACATTTACTTATAATAATAAAAAATGCACTGCCCAACTTTATGTAGTAAATAAAGAGTTGTACCGTGACAAAAATGCCAAGACTCAAAAGCTTTGCTGGATTTCTTGAATTGTATTTTTAACAGGTGAAAGACACCTGCTCATTGATGAATGGGGTTAGGTAAACTAAAAACAATTCAATAAACCACTCTAATTAATAAGTCAAAAACAATGGGAATGATCAAGATGTTAAAATATAACTACATAACTACGGACAAAAATAGACACTCGTGCCTTTTTTTTTTTAAAGAACACACCAATCATCCAATCAAGAAATATCTATATAAGAGCAAGCACGAAGCTTTATAATGCTAAATGTGTTCAGATTTCAAGTGAGACTCACAAAAAGCACCCAAAAAATTCTTATGCTATTGCCAAAAACAGAACTGAATAAAAGAAGCATACACAAAATGATAAAATAATCAAATTTAAATTGTTATCCTTGGAATGAAAATTGGCATTAAGAAATCCAACATGACAAACCTCAAACACTCTTTGTAACAAGCAATGGAAGAACGAGTGTGTCTTGAATTTCGATAAAGCTTGCCCATCATTTGATTCATTTGCAAATTTCTTGCTTTGTTAGGAATTCCCTCCATCTGTAAAATAAAGGAGTAAAGCATATTCTTATATTCTTAAAATGAAAGAAACTAAAAATGAATAAAACCACATCCAAGTTCAATTGTAAAAAGACCATGTAACAAACCCAAGTTGCTCAAAACACTCATCCTAGAACATACAATGTAATTGCAACATTACATGGATAACATGAACATTTACAAAAAAGCGACAAACAATACAGCAAGTTCCTTAGCTACTGGATGAAAAGTGTAATCTAAGGTCTTCCCGATAACAATAAATCCCCCAAATTATGATGACATTTGCCAAATAACGGGAGCAAGGAATGGACGGCAGGGAGAGTGAGTGTCAAAGACTATATCAATTAGCAACAAAAAGCAAAATTTATACATAAACTACACATTCATATACTAAAATATAACCTCACCAAAAGTGACTTAACAAATTGATTAAAGAAACACGAATGCAAACAGAGAGTATGGAGATGGAACCTCAACAAGAGCAGCTCTATTCTCATTCAGTGAACAGTGACAAGATGCAATTTTGAACTTCACCTGCACCAAGATGTGAGAGTAAATTGTTTGTGAAATGACTAACCTTAAATATCCAAGATTTATAAACAAAACTTGTTATGACCCAAGTATGTCAAAAAAGGGAAAGAACAAGTAGGGGAGCATGTCAAACTACCTCATTTTCATTAATCCCCAAATTATTAAAAGAATTTGGAGAAGACGACTTGTTTGACGTAGGCAATGAATTTCTAGTCATTGCACTTCGTTTGGGAACAATCTTGCAATGTTGTAGCGCTTGCTTGTATGTATGCTGTCACAATACAAAAAGATATGATGACATGCTATGTTTGAATATCTTTGTTCACATGGAAAGAGGGGAGGGATAAATTAGCACTATTTAATGAAATATGTTCTTTTCAACTTAAAAGGCACTTCTGCCCAAGGAAGGAGTGGAAAAGTATAGCAGATGAAAGAGATGAATCACAAATTAAATGGGAAAAAAATAGTAGCTAGTAGTGTTGGCATATAGTAAGTAACATTCAAAAGGAGCAGAAGAAGATGCCCAAGCCATTCTGTGACATGACAAACATAAATTGGAGCTCAATGCTCATGATCTTCCAACATAAAATCGTGTTTTGAAATTAATTTTACCCTTTGGGTTTGTCCATCTAAAGAACTGTCATACAAACTTAGATTACAAATGTTATGTGTCTTGAATTTTCAACAAAAAATAAAACTATTGCAGAGTCCAAACAAGTGAAATACTCATAACAAGGGCACCTATATTGAAAGCCAATCAAGCAGTATCAAACAATAAATTATTTCCACAATACCCAATATCAAAATTTAAAATAATTGAAGCCCCTGGAAAAATTAGCACTAGATGTAATTTTACTGTGACTAACTATTGGATCTTTGGATTCACCCCCTCAAAAAAAACTATAGGATCTTTGGTTAAACAAGAACATTATATTTTATTTTATTTTATTTTATTTTACTAACAAAAAGAACTCTGTTGAACTTTCAAAGATCAAGATCCCCTCTTCCTCCTATATAAGATAATAACAAATTTGATCTTCACATCAAAAACCAGAAAACAAAAACCAGAGAGAGAGAGAGAGATGGGGTTTTGATGAAGCTAATAGATGCAGTTCTGTTATTCTTCTTCTTGATGGTGATTTTAGCAGCTCCAGCTTTCGATGCACAAGTGTGCTTTCCTTCTAAGTTCTTCCCAAATTTCCTCGTTGACCTCAATCTCTGGTTCACAAGCAATTACGGTGATTACTTGCTCATAGAAAAGCCTTCTTCCTTGGTTGGGCTTATGGGAGGGAAGCTCTGGTTCAATTCTACTTGCCTATTCTATGGAGTCTCTGTTTTTACTGGAATGGTATTTTCCTTTTTCTTTTCATTTCTTTGTTTGGTTCTCGGGAAAATTTTGTATAATTTATTGAATTGCAATTCAAGAGGTGGATTTCACACTCTCATTGTAGTCGTATTGTTTTGGCATAGTATGAAGGATAGCATTTGACTCCAAAAAAAAAAAAAAAAAATTATTTCACAAATTTCACAAAATAGAATTGGTAAGGATGTTATGTTTGGATTTTATGCAAAATGAAAGAGACATTAAAATATGTTTAGATTTTTTCACTTCATGTTCTTATTTTTTACTTTATAAACTATGATCCAAACATTGGACCAAGTACACAAAACACATGATTTAAATTGACCTGGTGATTGTTAGGTCCAAATTTGTTCCTATTTTATTGGTTCAGGGCTTAAATACATCAATTTTGTGGTATCCTATAATGAAATACAATAATTTTAAATCTTATACTATTACTAGGTTAAAAAAATAACAATATAGTCCAATAAATCCAAATTTACAATCTAATCTAAATTAAAGGGGCATTATAGACTATGTAAGTTGAATTAAATAATTTTGCTTCTAAAAGTGCCAGAAGAGTAATATTTTACTGGGATGTTCTTTTTGTTGGTTTAGTTTTTATTTGATATGATAACTTGAGATTTTATTTAATGTTTTTTAATTTTTGTAATGATTTCTTTATGTCTTGATCATGAAAGTAAATTTAGTATATAATTTTAGTGATTACATATGCAAGTGGAATATAGTCAAGACTTTTAAGTAGAAACCACTCTTTCTCTAGCTGTTTCAATTATGAAGATGTGGAAATGCATTTATCTCTGTTAAATTCCAATGACTTGCATGTAATAATTGGCAAGTCAGATTTATGGCTAGCCATTTCTTTGAATTTTAAGCTCAAATGTATATACTATATGATTTATATTATCTTACGGTGGCTTTGAACAAGGAACAAAGATATCATAATCTTGCATTTCAGAAGGACCAAACTCCTACCAATGAGTGTATTGTGGTTATGGTTTTGCATGAATTTAAAAAATGGATAAGCCACTGATGCAGCTCACTTTCTGGTGATTAAGGATTACTGATTATGATCCTATTCTGATTCCTGATGTATTCAGTTACAATCAAATCTTGCTTAAGGTTCAATTTTTTTTTTTAACAAATTATAGGACACGGATGAATGTAATAATGATTAATAAAGTAGATTTAGCAAATATTAGAGTCCGAAATTGGTGTTTGAATCTCTTCTTGATTTTATTCATGCTTCAAGTTGCTATATTAGTAGAGCTGATATTGTCTTCCAGAATCACGAATGTATTGATGATGATGTACTTACCTTTCTTGGGTTTTGCAGTCTTAAACTATTCTATGTTGCCTGTTATCATGCTCTCGCCAGACTAAAATGAACGCCGGAGTCCCTGCATTGGCTTGAGATGCAACTTGCAACCAAGATTTGGTACAACTGCCTTGCATTTCCAGAACTGCTCATGCCAGTTTCGATGTATGTCGTGCAATGCTAACTTGAAATTCTTAATAATTTTGTGATGAATAAGCTTTACTTGTTCTGTGTTGTTATGCAAATAACAAAATTTTGGAAGTTGATTTTTTGAGGTGTGTTAGAAGTTTGTAGTATCATTTCGTCAGTAGGCAGTGGCATATCACAAAGTGGTCTCACTTGATACAAAATATTTCATAAATGATTTATGAAATTGTTTTGGATATATAGGTTGAGGTAGAGTGACTTATATATTGTTTAATATAATATATAAATATATAATAATATAATAAAATATTAATATATTATTTTCGGGCTGGGTAGGGCTACACATTTGAATGAACTCACCCATTCATTAAATGGGCCTAAAATATTGGTTCACCCTAGCCCTACGGGCCAAATTATCCTTCTCAAGTCCTGAAAAAATAGGGGTGGGTGGGTTGGGCATGGAGTATTGCTCCAGAAGTATTGAATAAATTTTTTTTACAAACATGGTCTACAGTTAGACTACCCTTATCCCTACAACTACATTTTTAACCAAATTTAGAGACTTCTCAACAAAGAGGCCACATATATTATACTCAAAAGGGCGCGTCTATTGATAATTTAGGAGAGGAAGTGAAGGATTTAGAAGAGTAAAGTTACTTAACATTATATGTTATAACGATTCTGGTTTAGACCCAACCCGTTTATTATTTTAGATCCAGGATTTCTTATCTTCAATGGTTGTACATACCCTTATACATCCTATTCTTGATTGAGTTTGGCTATTTGGATGTCATTATTGCATTTGGAACAGGTTAGGAATTCGTTTTTCAAATGCGTCATTGCCCAAATTTTGGTCAGTTTACTCAAGCGGTCCTTTGCTCGCTCGAGCGGTCTTTGAGAACTTCTAGTATATTTTGGAAGGGTAGTGTTTTTCGCTTGAGTGGTCTTTCTTGTGCTCAAGCTGTTAACCTCTGTCTGCAAAACTTCTAGGAGGGTACCATTGTGCGCTCGAGCTATAACTTTGTTCACTCGAGCGATCTCACTTATTGTGTCTGGTCGCGCGAGCGGTGTTTTGGTCATTTGAGTGGTCTGTGCGTATATCAGTCCGTAAAAGTCACTTTTTGAGTCATTTTCCCATCTCTTTCTCTCTCTAACATTTTAAAACCTTAGATCTTATCTCTCTCTCTCTAGAAACCATCTTTCAACCTCAAATACACATCAATCTAGTGGTTTCTCAACCCTTGTCCCTTGGAGAGAAAGATAAAGCATGACGGGGGCTTCGTTCTAATCAAAACAAAGTTGATTTTTGACTTCGTCGAGGTTTCTCCACTCTCCCTCGTCTCTTAACTTCGAGGTAGGGATTTCTCCACACTTTAATATGGTTTTAACTTGGTTATTTTTCTTTTCAAAGAAGTCTTGAGATTTGGAAATTTTTGAACAAATCTAAGGTTTTAGTTTAAAAATCAAAAGAGGAGTTTTAAAATAGATTCTTGGATATGGTTGTGGGATTGCAAATGTGGTTGCATTGTGATAAAATGATGTATTTCTATCGTTGGAATTAATTTATAAAGAAAAGGGATATTTGCCCTAAAAATCTTGAATATTTGATTTTGTAAAGAAAGAAATGGAAATGATGTTGGATTCTTTGTGAAATCAGAATGATGATGATGGTAGAGTTGGATATGTATTATCACTCATATCTCAAAGTTTTGGAAATGATATCTTTATTGAAAATTATCTATCTTTTTAGAAATATCTATTTTGAGCTATTGGTAGAGGATTACATGAGAATTAGGAGAATTGAAACTAATTTCTCATCCATTTACATTGAGCATTGTTGCATACTTAACACATTGAAATGTATATTGTTTTGAGAAAAATAGGTGAATATCTTAGTGAATCTGGGTAAGGGGTATGGTTGTAGTACTATTATTGGCCTGTGTATCCTTGATGAAAGTCCAGAAACCTGCATGGCTAGGTGTCGAGCCTTCTAGTTAGTACCGGCAAAAATGGCATTAGTAGTGCTTATATAGCCTACTGGCAGACACGTACCTAGAGATTCTAGTGTTCATACCCACTATCCTGTTTTCTGTTGTAAAGGAAATGTTTTCAAGAATTGTGATATAACCTGCCATTGTATGGTTTTGGAAAGAGATAAAATGTTTTGGCACGAACATTGCATATACATTTACCTTATAGCTTTGTTAAAATTCATACACTACGTCAGAGTATCCCTACTGGGCTTTAGCTCACCATATGTGGAAAATCATTTTCAGGTGCTGATGATATTCCTCCGCCAAGGCCGTAACTTGGGAGGACTTGGAGCGAAGAGTTTCTTTAATTACTGTTGTATTTACCTTTGTACAAGTCTAAGACTTTATTTGTATTGAGTTTCAAACTCACTTTTATTGTAACCAAGTATCATCTTGGAAAGTTGTAGCTAATAGGGCATCACTTTATTTGTTTAACTTTTATTTCATATTGCTTATTTGTGGCACATGCTATAGATTCAGAATTAGGACTTGTGAATATATAGTTGCATGTGTTCTCTTTTGTACAATTAAATTATATAAAATGAGGAGAATACCATATTCAGAAATGTAATCCTATTTAATAATTGTTGTGGGATGATTTTATTATTATATTTTTGGGGCGTTAGATGTGTCAACCTAGTTGGATATGTTCTTCAAAAATAATGATAGTTTTGCTTTGCTTTCTTGTTTGATGTAATCTATTTATACTACTTGTACTTTGATTTACATCAATAAACTTATTTTTGTCGATAAAAAAACATTATGTTTAATTTACTTTTAAGGGATGAAACATAAGTATATGGAGGGTAATGAGGCAGAGAGAATACAAATATTTTAAACACTTCTCTTCCCCTTCAAAATTGGGATGAAACAAAAAAGAAAATGAAATATTTGTTAATAGTAATATTTGGTAAGACCTAACTAAATATTAACTAACTAAACAAGGAGGAGAACACCTCTTCTCCCTTTCTTTCTCCTTTCTTTCTTTCACTCTCTTCACTAACGTTTTTCCTTCTTTCTCCCTACACTCAATCTAAATAGAGTATGAAGTAAATAATGAAACTTGAACTAAAACAAGTACACATATTAGTGGGCCAAAGGATAAGTATCTGGCCAAAGCCTGTCATCGGTCTATATATGGGTTGGACCAGAGCTGACTAGACAAGTGGGCTTACCATGGACTTACTCCAAAAATTTGATATGTTTCATGAAAAAATTGAATTAATTAAATTATCATAATCACATGATTTTATTATATTTATATTTAAAAGTGAGTGTTCTTTTAAAAAATTTATATTTAACATCACTTTCATATCACGACAAAACTAAAATTATTCTTGTGTGCATTATTTATGTTGCAACATAATTTTTAAATAATTTTGTGTTTGTACAAATATATATATATATATATAATAAATTAAAATTATCACATATATTTATTAAGATATATTTTATGAAACGATAAAACTATGATTATTCTTCTATATTGTATACTTGCCAATATATATACGGTCGTGCTAAAGGCCTTGAAAATTGAGGCGCGAATTTGCCTTGAATTCGATTTTTTTTTTTTTTTCTGTGTGTGTGGAAAGGTTTGTTATGTGTACCCTTAATACTAAAC